AACCAGCTTAGGCACATGAACCAAGCCCTTGATGCCTCCCCTCCCACCCTTCCTCATTCCAGAAGGCATGTGTCACACTTTCAGAGCATCTTCCTTCCATGCTTCTTTATTCAAAACACTGTATTCAAAAGACTAACTCAGACTTTAAAAAAAAATTTCTTTTCTTTCCTCTCTCCTACAGGGCTGCGATGTATTCCCTCTCAATGGAGAAAGACATGTAGTCTTTCAAGAAGACTGTGTATAGCTCACCTAGAAGGTACAGCTCTGATGCCACAAGAATGCAATGAAACTCTGAACACCTTGGCATGCCTGTCTCTGATCTGTCTCTGATCAGACCAGATCAGTATTTCTTACATCTTCAGGTTGGCAATCTCTTGATCAGGATAAAACAAAAAAAAAGACAATCATTTTCAACTATTGTTAAAAAAAAAAAGTGTATTATTGGTCTCATTTATACATGGAGAAAGAAGAATTTTTTTTTTTTTTACATAATAACAGATCTGAGTTTGGTCTTTCTAGTGAGAAAAAGAAAGAGGCACCTCCCTGGGTACAAAGACAAAGTAGAGGGGCACGAGTTGTGAAATTTTTAGCGGAACTAAAGCAGAGAAAGCAAGCATGAATCTGGAATTAGGTCCATACTAGAAAGAGTGACAGGAGGAAGGACCAATGAAGGAAAAGTAAGAACGGAGTCTGAGAGGAGAGAGTGTGGATGCAGATGATGTAAGTCCAAGCAGTGAGGGAAGACAACATTGCAATGAACGGGATAGAAATAAATCAAAGAATGAAGCTAAGAGCAAAGCAGTTAAATCTAAATGAACAGTTAATCACTAGTGCTTGCTGTAAGTATTTTGACCATCCTACAGAAGCATCCCAACAACTTTATTCCATGCTCCCAACACCTCCCACAGTAACAGCACTTTATATATAAATTCTTTATATGGTTGAGCAATTTCTTATATCACAGGAGACAAATACTTTTAATTTTTCAGTGATACACTCTAAAAACTGAATCTTACTCTCTAGAAATATACAAAGAGCAAATGTTAATGGTCCAATACTGTCTTTTGTTATGTATGTATCATTGAATTTCTTGAAAAATCACTTTCTGAGTTTGCATTCACAACTTTAAAAAATCACTTTCTGAGTTTGCATTCACAACTTCAAATAATGTTCTGTGCTTCACAATGAAGACAAGAACGTATCATTTTGGCACAAACAAATATGTGCAGTAATTAGCACCTTGAAAACGCCCATAAGAAGAAGATATAAAATGTATCAGACATAAGTCCAAGGCCTTCTGTATAGCAATTCTACATAAAAGACACTTCTCAAAGTTTGAAAAAAATATTTTTTAAGATTTTTAACACCATAGTTCTCACGCACATTTTAATATTTATAAATGAAATAATCGCCTATCTCCAATGGCCTCAAAACAAAACAGCAAGGGAATTTATTTTCACCCTTCTGTAAACACATGCAGCTATGTCCCAAAGTGGATTCACCAACTGTTCATACTACCACCTTTCAGGACACTGTCAAGAAAAATAAGAGCAGCCTGTTCCAAGCCTAAACTGGAAGAGCAACAACTTAAGCCTAGGTTCTCCCCAACTCTATTCCCAGCTCGCCATCACAGCAGAAGACAGGGCTGAGAACCCTTCCTAGGTCCACCATGTTATGGGGGTTTAATCTTGTAACTGGCACTTAAATTAAAAACATGAGTTACTTTCAGTTAGGCACTGTGTATCTAAACCTTGGAACACCTAAGTTCCTTTGTTCAGGAAAACCGAGACTCAGAAACTATTCAAAAAATTCACACAAGTAACTCATTTACACACCACACACACACAAAAAAAAATGAGTGTCATAGCCAGAACCTTACAAAGTTTTCCAATTTCTGTTCATAGAGTATTCTTGTAGAGATATTCCATGGCTCTTTAATAGAAACATCATAGAGACCAGAAGATATGAATGTAAGAGTAGTCCTACCAGTTCACAGCCCTCTTACCCAGTACACTGCTCTCCAGCTGTGGCCATAAATAGCTGTACAGAAAAGAGTAAGAACTCTTGAGGAAACGTGGGAAAGGTGTGGAATATGGGAACGTGTGGAGTATTCTCTCAATTCTTAGACCAGGGAATTTCCTCCAGTGAAGCTCTTTTCCAAGTACCTCTTCATTTCTCCACTCAAATCCATGTAAACCTTCACACCTAGAATATCTTTTGACAACGAGTTTCATAGATTTACTATCTATCTGTTGTAGGAAACCTGATATCTTCTTGTTTTCACTGAACCTGTTTCCTGCTAATGTCACTATATGGCCCTTTATTCTTGGTTGCAAGAGACAATAAGCAGTCAACCCCTCACACCAAAACACCCACAACTTAAGAGTCACAACTTTCCGAGCTTGAAGAGTTTTAGGGTACTTAGTCTTTCCCCAGAGGGAAGCTACTCTTGGTTTTGACGATCCTTGCAAGAAAAAAAAGTCTATAGATATGGGAAAATGTTCTGTGTATTGCAAACTGGATAAAAACTGAATATGTTCTAGAAGTACAGTAATTTATTTTGCATTCACCAGCCATAGAAACACAATTAAAAACCCTGCTGCATGTCTTTTCAGAATTAAATAAACCCCAGTGCCTTACCCTCCCTAATATTAGAGAGTTGGAGAAACCATCTTGTTTTTTAAAGACTTTTTTTTTTTTCAATTAAATTCACCCAGGAACTGTCAGTTTAAAACTCCACACAAGTACTTTCCAGTTCAGAGCAGAATGTGGAAAAACTCACATGTCCACAAGCTAAGTAGACCTTTCAAGTGTGGAAATAGGTTATTCACATGAGAAAACTCCCAGTTCACTTTTATAGCTAGAATTCACATCAACCGGTTATCTACTGCACCAGAAGCAGTAGTTTTCAGAAGCGACCTAGGGCCATTTAAGTCCCCCAGAGTAGTCAATGTATGGCCAAACATTTCCCTCAGATTGTCCACTCTTCCTAATAGTAACAGAGGCTGCCAAGAAACCAGAGGAGCCCACAAGAGACAACAGCAACAGCAAATACCTGAATGTGCACACATGAAAGAAAAAGCTTGGTCAAAAACAGTGTAATAGGTAGCAGTGTCAGACAAAGCGGCTCCTATGAAGAACCTTTAGCCAATTTATGACAATCTCTGAAGACCAGTACTAGCTTCAGTTGTCAACTATATATTGCAATGGACGTCAATGACATGACTATGCAAACAAACGCAAGTCTCTCATTTTGCCTAAATTGGTAGCCTAAATGCCCTCAGATAGGCACCATATGCAGTTAAAATGGATGACCAAGAAGGCAAGGGGAAATGCTTCTCCAAGAGTTACAGGTCTCTTGAATGGTGGCCAAAGATCCCAGTATTATATGCAAGTGAAATTTTAAAAAATATTTATGTCACTGAAACAGTTATTAAACAGTTTTGAATTGCTCTTATTATATTTGCATTAAATATAATGTTTTTGTAAATCCTACCTAATGCACTTAGTAACTTGAAAACTGTTCAGTCATGTAAAGTTAACTTTATCATGGGATAAGAAACTTTGCAAAATTTCTTATAGTATCACTACAGGATAACAGCTTCCAAATTTTATAAATGAAATAGTATTTCATTTTAACATAAAAATTTTATTACAAGTAGTTTATGAAAAAGTACGGTTTGATTTTTGGTTATTCATCCTGTTCTGTTCCCAATGGAACCAAACTGGAAGATACTCTTCCCTTAAGAGGTATTTTTAATAGATACATCACATTGTATCGGTAACACAGAAAGCACCTGGAGTTGAAAGGCTGTATGTTGCCATTGTAAAAGGTATTCTGAAACAGCACACTCAAGCCTGCCTGCTGTTATCTGGCATCTATATGCCAAGTATACTACTTGAAGTGACGATCACAGTCCCATTGCTTAACCTTTTTCAGAGAAAAAAATGTGATTTTTTTTCCTTTTTAAATTTTTGGCATTGGTTAGTCTATAACTTGTGGTATGAAATCATCACTACATACCTGAAGCAGGTATGAAAGGATACACACAGCCCGATGTGCATGCCATGCTTAAATCCTTCTGCTGTGTTTCCAGAATACTGGCTGCAACTCATCATTCAAAGAGGACAAGAAACAAATGCCACAACATTCTTATAAAAAATTCATACAACACCCTCATCTAGCAACATCACTTTTATCTATCTCCTACCCCACTAGTTGTAAGACTAATAAAGCTGCCCAGCAGGCAAGGAATTTAATGAAATAGGTCCTGAGTTCCTGGGTGAATCACCTGTGGTTCCAACTCTAACAGTTCTGACGAAATACCAACTTTCTTCCTGCTACTGAGCAATAGGGTTTTATGGATCTTTATCAAACATGCTCTTAAGGAGGCAGGGTGTAATAGCATGGTATGAAAGAATCCAATGTGTTGGACAGCAAATGACTGTTATCAAAGGGAAGAGTAGAGAAAACAATCTAAAAAAAAATTAAACAACAGAATTGAAAGCTGTTATATTTAGGTCACTTAGGTAGCAAGATGAGTTTGTGGCCATTCTCCTCCATAAGCAACAACATAATTAAACCACATATTGTAACCACACATGATTACATAACTAATAAACTACACCAACCAGCACAATATTGCCTTACAACATTACAGGTTTCCATTTTCCACAGATTTTTGCTCTATGTCTAAAGTTGAGCCATAAATATTGCAAAACAAACCTGTTCTACCAGGTAGCTAATGAAAGCGAGTTTTTTTCCTAGAGTCTCACTGCCTAATAAATTTAAGTACTGTCTGGTTGCTGCTTCTTTTAGTGAAAGGTTGAAGAAGGAACAATTTGGCTTCCCTTCTGCTGGAGAGCTGAAAATATCCTTGCTTAATAATCCTTCTAAAATAACCAAAATATCCCTTTGTTTGAAAGCTTAGGTTTTCTTAAGAAAGGTGACTTAATTTCCCATTTTCTGGGCAAGCTTCATGTTCTAAGGGAAACCTTACCCAATTTTGGCAGGGAATAGGGCACTTTAAAATAATCTTCATAAAACTCAATAAGTCTCCTTGTGATATTCAGAGCATAGTCCCCTGATCCTCTTCGGATTGCATCAGGCCTTGCGTATAACCGCACCTGTTAAAAAAAAACAAAGTGAGAGATTGGTCATTTCAGCTCCTACATCTTAAGCCTACGCTAACTACACATCCGAATACTCTAAGGTTGCTATGAGGTGCTAGGGTTATTCTGAAAGCCAAATGTGGCTCTTGTACATTTGTCAAAGCATGCTGTAGCGGGGAAAAAAAAAAAAAAACTTACTCAATTAGGGTTACAAAGTTGAGAAAGTTAAAATCTCCTGTTTGTTTATGTTGCCAAATAAAAGACTTAGCACTCCTTGCATCAAAATAAATATTCAAAGCAATCACTTACATGTGTTTGCTAGAGATATGATGGTAGAGTGGATTAGTATAATGGTTCTCTGCCTATTCTGAATGTAGGCAGGGTGCAGTGGCTCAGTAGGAGAGAAGTTCACGGTTTGTTAAAGCCACATTATATCGAGCCCTGAAAGTATTAGTAGACTGTGAAGAAGAAAAAATAATCATTCTCCCTTCTCTTTTTCTGGCAGTGACACAGTTAGACTCGATGAGCAACATAAGACTGCAAAAACAACCATTTATAAGCTCATTCCTGCACACAAACAATTAACATTTCCAAAACCCTCCATGATTGCTCCAGGCCTCTGTTTTCACAAAGCAGTAAGTTAAAGCTGCTTATACAAGTCACATACTGATGTGTTCAGTACAAAACAACTCACACATCTGACTGCATAGAGCACCAAGGCAAACAGAAGCAGTTCCCCTTCAGATGAAAAAGGTAGTGGAAAGTACCACATAATCATTTCCTCATTATTCCCCATCCTTTCATTCCTTAATGTCTCCTTACTGCAAAGACGACATACAGCTAGTGACATTTGTTAACCAAGAAAAGGCTAAAATGAAGGGCACTTTTTCATACTTGCTCCTTACACAGTCTGATGGTTGCAGACAACAAGGCAGGGAAAAAGTCCCTGCTGGATCTCTAACAGAAGTGGTGGAAGGCCTGTTGTTGCTTCCTGAAATACATAATGACCCACCTGATACAAACAACACTCCACAAAATGCCAGTCCTAATAATAATATCTGAATCTCTAATATTTTCTGTGGTAGGATTAAATCCTACCCAGAAGTTTGAGAAAAGCAATAGGACAGAAACCTGAAAATGTCAAGGCAAATATGAAGCACAAATATCAGTTTTGAAATGTTTAAAATGGACTAAAAAAGCCAATGGGATTTTTGTCTTCAAGTGAAATCATTACCAAAGGTTGCTTTATTGTTCATTTCCTGAATCAGTTCAGTTACCCATATGGAAACCTGATATTAAACTTCAATACATTTTACCCATCAACTCTGCTTTAACCCACTATCTCTTTAATTAGGGTATTCAGACACATTATTTTCCCTTGTTCTTAACTGATATAGGTCTACCTTTATATTTTCATTACTATATCTTACTACAGACTCAGTGCGCAGTCATACAGTTATCATTTCTAATGTAAAACAGATAACAGTGTAACCTAGTGAGACGCAATAAAGCAGAGTGCTCAATCACTACCTGGAAACAGATAAACCATTACCCGAACTCCTCCAAGTCACTATTCCTAGTCATTGCTTCCTTCCAAACAGTGACACGCATGAACAATACCCCATCTCTTAAACTAAGTACATATTTTAATAAAATAAAGACTAAACACAGAGATCCCAAGTCAAACACCCTGAAACCTTTCATTTTTGGAACATGGTAAGAATCACAACTAGTATTGTGATGAACACTGTTTTGTATCATTTAACCTTTACATACAACTTTGTATAATTGCTTTCCTGTCACACTAAACTGCATCTGCAAACCGTTTGGGAGAATAAGAGGGACAGCCAGGTATGCAAAAAAAAAAAAAAAAAAGTCACTCTGGGACAGTGGTCAAATGTGTCCCTACTCAGGGACAGGACAGGACAACAAATAGGAAGATAAAATGGTGATTCAATAGACACATACAAGAAAAATCTGGGATCAGCTTGCAGTATTACCATGTGCACCTTTCAGCAAAAAGCAGGGAAGGTATTTAAAGTGCGCCTGAGATAGCCCAGGTATCAAACCCCGAAAACCTCAATATTGCAAGCTTTCATTTGCCACCTGCCTAACGTTGAACATGTTTAAATTTGGCTGTAACGTCTCCCTCTGACTCAACAGGACCGCACAGCCCAACACTAAGATCACCCCTAAACTTGAACTCAGTTAAAAAATTAACTGCCTTTGCCCAAGTCTCTTAAGTGCTTTCATGTTGGAGTCCTAAAGCATGCCAGCCATCTAGAAATGCTGGGCAGCTTCGAAATGCAGTATTTTGTTTTACCGCACACCCTCCTTTTTTCTTTCACAGAATACCCTGTTATTAGTTCACTTGCCCAAAACAGAGAGTTTAGTTTCTTCCACTCTCTGAAGAAATTCAAGCTTACATATCCCAATAGAATACCCTGAACACTTTGCTACAAGCTTCTCTGAACAAAAGATGCAGTGTCCTTCATCTTGAGCAGGTGCCACTTTTCATTAAAGAATTTAAAATTCTATGTGGAAAGAATATGGAAGGAAATGACAGAGTGAAAGGTAAGCAGGCAGTGGAGGCACTCATTAAGGAAGACAGACCCCTGGGAGCTGAGTGTGCTTCTGCCTTTCACCCAACAACCTTTTAATATAAAATTCATGAAAGATTTTTAACAGTACCATCTCAGGGCCCTCCTGGCCTCAGGAAATGCTCTCTTGGTCATCAGAGGTGTATGGCATGGGACCTCTGTGACACTCTGATCACCTTCCTGGCTATTTTGGATGACACATTCTGAGCTGTCTCCATCATTTACTATGTACAGAAGTTGGTCGAGAATCCAATCTGAGACCTAATAACTAAAAAGTTGAAAAAGAAGGCCCCAACCTTCTTGCTTTGATGTCCTTCAAAGGAGCTTGGCTTATTGAGCTTATGCTTTATTTCCAAGTCCATAAAATGAAGATTATATTATTTCCTTAGTTTATAGGAATATTCTGAGTTAAACAGCAAAAGCTATGAAGTTTTTAGATGCTGCTCTAATGAGGATCTTAGGCAAACCAAATAGAATGCAGATTAAGACATGAGATTTGTATGTTTAGCATAAAATTATTTTTTGTTTACTGGTTTCACCTCAAAATGCAGATAGGTCGTGTTACTTTATCACTATGGTTGGACTAAACAATAATGCATAATTATTATACACTTTGCCCACAGGCTGTTTGATCACTACACTTAGAACTTGATTTTACATTAATTTAAATAAGAGGAAGAACAGAAGATTTTCTGTAGCATCTGACCTGCAGAAATAAAAGTAATATGCATTCTGCTATGAAAGATAAATAGGATTGCAGCTTAGGTGCATAATTCATCACTGACTGCAATGGCACTACTGAAGAGTTATTCACAAGGAAAAGGCTTGCAGTATTAAAGATCATTTTGAAACAGTATTATTTTCTTTTTTTTTTTCAGGTATTTCTGCTTCCTTAATGAAATCTCGCAAACATGCTTACACCAACAAACCTGAATACCTTTTAAGACTCGATACAAAAGGAAAGACCAGTCTCTTTTAAACAGGCGGCAATTTAAGCTTGTGTGTCACCTGTATAGTCAGCCCTTCCTAGCAAAGTGCCTATGTTCCCTCCACAATCAGTACAAAGAGAAAGATGCCTTGGAAAGCTTGTAGAGGAAGATACCTTCAGAGTAAGTGTGGGCACCAAAATTAAATCAGCAGAATCTTTCTCTGAAAGCTTCAGAGGTATCTGTTTATCTTCCCAACCTATACTAAGAACATAAGATATGACCCTTCAGGAAGACCACTTCAGTGGGCACCTAAAGCTTAGATGAAAGTTAGGCACCTACATTAAATGCACTGGATTCCATTTCAGGATCTTGCCTTCTATAGAAATCAATGAGAATTAGTCGCTCAGATTTGTGCTTGTATTCTTATGAACATCGGCACTTAACTTGGAGATCAGTGCTTTAGTGCCTCTACAGTAAGGCGCTCTATGGGCAATACTAGGAATTAAAGCCTCTAATAAATAAATAAATAAATTTAAGCCTTTAATAACTACAAAACATTTTTAAAAGCTACTGTGACAGAGCTAAGAACTCAGAAGTTAAGAAAAGATATTTGTATTAAGGCAACTCACATAATTTCCTCTTGCATACCTGTACTGGGATATAGCTCTTGATTACGTATGCGTACACCTAACCATATGCTATCTTTTTCTGCAGATCTTCTGCCTCTTTCAAAATGGAGACTAGTTTAATTTATTCTTACCATTATTATCCTCCTTATTTGGTGTTTAGTTCCATGTTTTATTTACCACTCACCAAACTAAAGAAAAAAATCTTTTGGGTTATTCATATGGTGATCTTACAGTATGCTACTGCCTTGCAAACATATGAAATTCTTTTTTCACAATCTTAGCAAGAATAGGTGACATTATTATTTTCATGTAAGAAAACTGAGAAAAAAGAGAGACCATGATGGTCTCTAATGAGAGACTAATGATGGTGCCTACCTGGACATTCTTGACTGTCAAGTATAGGTAACATTTTTATGGTGCACTGTTAAAGCACAGTTTCTATTACTTCTTTTTGCAGTGATGAAATCTCTGCAGTTTTGAGTCTGGTCACAGGTTTCTTAGTTCAGATATTAAGAAAATTAGTAACACATTTAGTGACTAAATGAAACTGTGTCAGTTTTTGTGATCTGCTCAGCACCACGTAGAAATTCTGGTGACAGAGGCAAGGTGGCATTCGTCCTTACAGCCATCTCTGGCCTGCCTGACAGTCTGAACCACAGAACCACAAAATGGCTGAGATTATCTGACCTCCATGCTCAAACAGACAGCTTGTGAATATACACAAATATGGAGACTCCACAACTTTTTCGGGCAACCCTTTCCCTCACAGGAAAAAAGTCTTTATTCATATTCAGATGGAACTGCCTGTGTTTCAACTTGTGCCTGTAACCTCTCTTTCTATCACTTGGCACCCCTAA